TGGCTTCAGGTGGTTTATATCTGTATTTAGTGAGGAAAGTGAACAAAATGACTTAAGTTTCATTGTGTCTGAAAACAGCACAATCAGAAAAGTATGGCCTGAATTAATCTGGCCGTGTTGAAAATAGTAAAAAGCTTAGCAGAAGTTATTTTGTATGTCCTTAGCTTTTTTTTTTGTTGTTCAGTTTTTGGCATACAGAATAGTTGGGCACATTGTTAATTCTGCCAGTAGTGTAGCTCAGTTTTTTTTTAATATAACACTGCTGGCATCTCTGAAAAATCAAGTACATGGATATAATTTGGAAAATTTATTTACTTTGTTGAAAGGTGATTATTAGCTTTACAGTCTTCTGTCTGCTAAACAAGTGCAGTCTAAGCAGCGGAAGTTCCCATGCCCTGTGCTCTTAGGTGTGTAGGACCTCAGTCCTACTCTGGTAGAGTGTGGTGAGGCATGAGTGGGGTTTTGTGTCGAGTGTCTGTTTCTCCACTCATTTTTCCACCAAACCTGCTCAGTGGATATCTCAGTGGATATTGGTGGGTGACTGGTTGTTTTGACGCAAGTTCTTCCTTAGAAGTTGCAGAGATCTTCCCACGTTGTCTGCACTCTCCTTTGTGATGGGAAGATTGCCTTCCGCCAGTCGTAGCATTCAGTCGTTCTCTCCACACAGTTCCTTGAACTCTTGATCCAAACAAGGTCTGTCTTTTTTTTTTTTGTTTGGTTTTTTTTTTTTTTTTTGTTTGTTTTTTTTTTGTTCCAAGACTGGTCTAGAAGCAGCAGAGCAAGCCCAGTCTGTCTCCCACATCTTGTAAGCCACCCAAGTCCCATTTTAGATATAGTTATTAGTTACAGTTTGTATTTTGTAAATATTTTCTTTGCAGTGATTTATGGCTCTTAACCTCCTCATTATGATTCACAACATTTTGGACCACCTCCTTCCTGGGGGAGAGAACAGGGTTTTTTTTTTTTTGCTTTTCTATAGCTTGGACCTGAACTGGTTCCAATTCTAGAGGCAAGTGAGAGATGGAAACAAAATGTACTGGGTATTAATAATCTCTGTGCTGGCCTGTTGCATTGGTGTTTGTCTGGCTTATCGGGGAAGTAGTCCTCTGTCTAGCCATGCAGATGGAGATCTGCTCAGAGCTCAGGCAGTGCTGAAGCCCCTGCTTCCCTCCTGCTGAGGAGAAATCCTCCACGATTGCTTGTTCACCAGCTGCCTTAGGACAGAAGAGTCTAATCAAGACGTGGGAAGATGCTTGTAGAGCTGCCCCCAAATTTTTTTCCCCTTTTACCTGCATACGTGCACATGTATACATCCATGCTACTCTTCAACTGCCTCTTCTTGCTGGGGTGTTTCCTTACTGCTGGCAGGTGTTAGGGAGGAGCTGGCATGGAGGCATAGGCAGTAAGTAGTTAAAAGTGAAGCACATATTGCACGTGTCCTGAACTCTGATGCGTTTCTCAGTGACCTTGAACAGAGCTCAAAGCTAGCATGTGCAGGCATGAATGACATTATCACCTGCAGCAAGTGTATGTTATGCAGAGTATGCTCAGGATGTAAGGTAGATCCAATACCGTTTTCAAACGCAGGGTCTTTGCTGCAGCATGTTTTTGTGTTGCCTGATGACAGGCATTGAGATCTAGGGAGCATGTATTAGCTCCCTTCCAAGCTGAATCGCTGTCTGTAACGAAGGGAGAGGGCCAGTTCTTCGCTGTGAAGTGTTGACGTGAGGCCAGAAGGAAGGAGCTGAAACTCAGTACAGGGAAGGAGTCAGGGTGGGGAGTGGGCGCTCAGTGAAATGCAGGCTTTTATCGTCTGGCTTGGTCAGGGTAGTGCTGTTGCCACTCTCCATTATGTGCTGCCTGAGAACAGGCTCCAGGCCCTTCCTTTCATCTCCGTCCTAATGAATTAAGACAAGGAATAACTATAAACCTGTTTTGCCCGTATAGCGAAGCAATTAAAAAAAGAAAAAAATAAAAAAAGAAGGGGGGGGGGGGGGGGGGGAAGATCTGAGGAGACTATTTCTTTCATTTATGTTGTAGCTGAGTGTGTGGCAGTAGAAAAATGTATTGAGCTAATGTTATAGTGTCTGAAAGTTCAAATATTACCTTAGGGCCATGGATGATAGAAATGATGGAGCTACAGCATCCAGAAGGAAGATATTTAATGTTAAACTACTGCTGAAAAATCAGGATATGTGAAAGCCTGAAAAGCATTTGGAGACTTAGTGTAGTCAAAAAGGTAAGAGTGGGCCCCTGTTCCTTCTGTTGGTTCTCCTCTTTGAAGCCTTTGTCTTATAGTACACATCAAACGTGCTGCAAAATGACTCCTGTGTGGCGGCAGCGCTCTGCCATATGCAGGAACAGCTGTGAGTGGTTTTGAGTAGGCCACTGTACATGATACATCGCACCCTTGGTAAGAAAAGAGTTCTGCCCTCTGCCTGTGAACAAGTGGATAGGATTGCCCTCCCAGTTTCTTCCCTATGGAAGAGGCAGATCCAGTCCTCTGCAACCTGTATTTAAATTTAAAGAATAAACCATTTTTGTCATCACTGTTCAGAATCTGTGTTTTTCCTCGTTCACACTGAAGAAGATGCACTAGTGTGTGTGTTTGAGGATGCACTTGTGTGCATGGGTATTGCCCACTTGCCAGCTCCACACAAAGACATAGGAAACATGGGATTTGGCAAATTGCACTAGCAAGGCTCCAAAATGGATTGTAGAAATCCCCTGTAGCAGGAGTGTTGGTGATTATGGCGAGTTATTTTGGGGCACTCACTTGCAGATGTTGTGTGCCATGGTGATGGATGGGCTGCCCCTGTGTTTTGTCCTTCTTGGTCAGGCTGACCCTGAGGAGCAAAGGACTCTGATGGAGTCTTAGAAATAAAACCACCAAATAGCATAGTGTGATTTAAGCATAAACCAGCTTCATTGATTCTTCCCCTAGGGTGCACTCTCTGTATGTTTTGAGATGGATTTTGTCATAGGGGTGAGGATAGGAGAAGAGGAGGAACTTCGGGAGGGGGAGGCGTCTTTTTAGATACGATCAAATGGAAGTTTCAGAGGTTGTTCTTGAAAATTTGATGTTTGGAGGATGCGTAAGTCTTAGCCAAATTAAAATCCTTCATCCTGCTAGGCTTCTCCTGGGACTTGCATGGCTCTGGGGAGCAGAGATACTTGCCAGGCAGTATCTCTGCTCTTCCTATCACAGCTTAATTTATATTAACAAATCAAACATGGCTTGTGCTGCCTGTGCAGCCCTACTAAAATAAAATGGAAAGCTGCCACTGCTTTACTCAGCATGACAAGACCCTAGTGGTTACTGCTTGCTTGCTCTTGTTAGTGCTTTATAACTAATACACAAGTACAAGTTCAAGGTCATGTCTTTAAGATATATTTCTGGCCAGAAGAAGCTCTCTTAATGTCACCAGTTTAGTTCATCTGTGGAGAGATGTTTATTTCTGAATATTCATGAAGTGTTGTATATTGAATGATGTGCAGAGCAGTCTAGCAAGTCCTGTCAGTGGTTGGGGAGTCAGTGTGACCAACTTCCCTGAGATTTCTTTTCTCTTTGGTACACAAATTGTGTATTTAAAACAGGAAAAAAAAAAAGACCTCAACAACAAAAAACCTCCCTACTCTTAAATCTTTAGTTTTAAGGCCTGTGTGTGTTCTTGAAGTCAGCCTAAAAAAGGCTGGCTCTAGCAATTACACGGTCCTTGCCTTTTCCTCGTAGAACTTTTCATTTGATGGGTTAAGGAAGAAGTCAGGTTGGCATCTAAAGAAATGAAATGACACTTAAAAGTGCATCACACAGGTGGTCAAAGCATTGACCCCTAGGAGAGACCGAGGTGAGCAGCAGGAGATGGAGTGAGTGGGTGGGTGCTTTTTGAAAACCTTGGTCTGTCAATGCTTGCCTTGGAAAGGGCAGAGCAATAAAACTGATCAAATTGTAGTCTTTGTTCTGTAGCTCTGAGTTTTTGAGGCAATTTTTCTGCCTAAAGTGTGCAAAATACCATTTTCTCATCAAGCCATTTTGCAAAGGGGCCTTGGCTTTATATTTAGTGCTGTGTTCAAATTTTACCACTTCTTAGTCCAAGCCCAACACAAGTGGCAGAGGTTCTCTTCCTTTCCTCTCCCCTGCCCATCATCTCTATGGGGGCATTAGGTCTCTCCTCTGGCACACTGGTCTTCGTTGTTCCTCTGCCTTCTTGCTGTATTTTCTCTGTGGACAAGTACCCCTGGCCCACCCCTTGACCTGGCTTCACTGTACCAGTTGGTTTGTGGGAATGCTTTAACAAAATGCCTTGTTTTAGCTGTGGAACTGGTAACAGAAAGTAGCACTTGGAGTTTTTCTAAATCTTGCAGTTGTAATGACTGTTTCCTGTCCCTGGCCTTACTTTTAATGTATGAGAAAAGTTATCAAAGATGTCCGTAAGCTGTTCATATATGGATTTTACCATTTAATTATAGATCTTCTTTTGGGGTAAAGTTTCTCTGAAGGGAGCTTGACAGAGCAGATGCTGTTTTGCCTGGGGATGCATTTCTGGTATTGGCCCGGTGAAGAGCTGCCACTTCAGCTGTGGGATTTTGATGATTGCGTGAACATCCTGCCACATGAGATTAGAGTGGCGGTACTGCCTCCCAGCTTCAGGATATGAAAGATCCGCCTCTTCATTAGAGCTTTCATGTGGTGGCAGCTGAAGTGAGGAAGAACAGGGGAAAAGAGAGAAGCTATTTAAGAAAACAAAAGCAAATCTGCTGAGCTAAAAGGTGATCTGAGGGGAGGGAGGCAGAGAGTGCATTTCTGTTTGCTCATGGAAAGGGAGGGGAAGAACAACAAATCAATTGTTAAGCATTGCTGGCTTTATCAAAATAATTGTCAAGTGCTCAGATACCGCAATCGCAAGTATAGTACTAATACCTAAAAAGAGATAGACAAAGCATGTGAAAGGAATTTGTGTGGTTTCTGTTCATGTGGACATTTTTGTCTCTTATTTCAGCAGACAGAAGGAGGGGCGCAGACAGATGGACAACAATCACAGACACAGAGCAGTGAGAATACCGAGAGCAAATCCACTCCAAAACGACTTCATGTGTCTAACATTCCCTTCCGCTTTCGAGATCCCGACCTTCGGCAGATGTTTGGGGTAAGTTACCAACACCTTTTAAGGCACGGCCTATTCTCCTTCCCCATAGGAGGGACATATGGTGCTAGCATACTTATGTGAAGGAAAAGCCTTTTCCCCTCAATTTAGTCAGTATACTGTAAAATATTTGCAGGACTAGGACAATTGGTAGTGTTTACCTCAGCTGTTAAATATGCGCGAAAACTGTAACTGTGTTGTTTATATCAAGATGTTGAGTGTAACCTAACAATTGGTTTGGAAAACAAAACAAAACTTCACCTTATTTCCCTGTAAAGACTAGGATTAAACATTGACTTAATATATCCCTTGCAAAGCACTGTTTTTCAGTTGCTTAGAAACTTGTTGAAATATTTATGTCTTTCCTCATGATCCACTTCTGTGATGAAAAATTGCTGCAAGGAATTGGCCAACTAGGTATTGCATCTGGAAAAGCTAGTGCAAGTCAGATGGTATTTTACATTGTGTATGATATACATTCTGTTTCTTCTGACCAAATAGTTTGTCTTCCCTAATCTTTGTATGCTATTCATCATTCTCAATTTATAAGCTCTTTGAGGAAGAGTTTGTTCACATGACTGTAGGTGGTGACTTATTCCATGCGGACACAGAGATAAATGAGTTAGATGCTTCATGACTTAACCTTTAGGTGATGCTATCTATATATCATCATCTTGACTTGTTGATATGATGGTAGTATCCTTGGTTGATGGCATGTTTCAAAGTCTTCAGAAATATTTCTTATTATTTATAAAGTTGACAGACTTTAAATGTTGCTGCCTGTTTAAGATGCAATGCAGAGGACTCAAGTCAGGAAAGACCAAAGCTCAGGTTCCTCTTACCACCTTAGGCTTTAAGTGTATACCCTGGTCCTAACTGTATAGCCAGCTGCTCCCCCAAAATCTTGCAGTGTTCTTGTTTCTGTTGTTGCATCTCTTGATCCATCTGTGTGGGTGTGTATGCATGCGCATATACACACATTCTGATGTGAAGAGTAGTGTTACAGTACATCAGTGCATCAAATTCCTGGACTTCAAGCTTAGACTGCTATAAATGAGAGAAGAATTGGGCTTATCTGTTAATAGCTTGAATGCTACAAAATGTGCAGAAATGGTAAAAATTTCACTGATGGTCTTCAGCAAGAGTCCCAATTGCTATATATTGTGACATCATTGCTGTTTGTTCTTGAAGCTTTTTGTGTCCATAAGAAGCTATTTTGTGGGTGAGATCAAATGGAGAGGAGTGGTCAAAATGCCGGAGGGTAAGGCTGCTATTCAGAGGGACCTGGCTGGAAAATGGGCTGACAGGAATGTTAAGATACTCACCAAGAACGAGTTTCAAGTCTTCCATCTGGGAGGGAATAATCCCTGCTGCAGTACAGGTTGCGGGCCAGTTGTCTGGGAAGATGCTCTGCAGTAAAAGATTTGAAGGTCCTGGTGGACAACTTGGCAAACACAAGCAGCAGCGTGCCCTTGTGGCAAAGGCAGCCAACTGTATCCTGGGCTGTGTAAGTGTAGCCAGCAGGCCCAAGGGAAGTGATACCCCTCCCCGGCCCCACCCCGGTCTTCAGCAGCTGTTGGAGTGCATCTGGAAGGAATACTGGGTCCAGTTTGGGATCTCTAGGGCAAAAAGTGCACTTCAAGTGAAATACTGGAGCAAGCCCAGTGGGCACCACTAAGGTGGTCAGGGGGCTGGAGAACATGGCATGTGAGCAGAGTCTGAGACCTGGGCCTGTTCAGCTTTGAGAGGAAGAGAGATATTTTTGTTGTCTATTTTGGTATCTGATCAGAGCATATGGAAAAGATATACCTAGAATCTTTTTGGTTGTATGTAATGAAGAGATGAGAGACAATACAAGTTGGAACATGGGAAATTTAAATTAGATATCAGGAATTTTTTTATTTTTTTTTTTTTTTTACTGTGAGGGTGGTTAAATAGTGGAACACGTTGCCCAGAGAGATTGTGGAACCTCCATCCTTGAAGGTATTTGTCTTGACTGGACACAGCCTGGCCAACCAAATCTCATTAGACCTGCTTTGAGCAGGGGTTTCACTAAATGACCTCTGGAGGTAGGTCTCAGCCAAAATTATGATTCTGTGATTCTGTTGCAAGAGGCCTGGGTTTGCTTCTGTGTTGTTCATACATTAGATTGTCACACTCTTGACATCTGTGGAAATGTTTTCAGGGTGAAACTCATCTCCTGGCAGTCTGTGATTGCTGAATCTTCTCAGCTGCCTGTTCTGCTTTTGTGTTTTTTAGCTCGCTTTTTGCTGTTGCAGGGCTGTGCGGTAGGCAGTTCCGTCCGGTTTGGATAAACTGGTTGCTGAAATCACAGCCAGTTCTTGGACCACCTGCTACAATCTGTATTTAGCACGTCCTGCTCTGTTCTACTGCTGCTCCCCTCTCCTGGGAGATACATCGCTTATATAAACTTTCCTGTTGCTGCTGCCCCTTCCCTTGAGACCAGTGCCTGACTTGACGACTGGCCCCTATCACGCTTGTTCACCTTCGTGCTGTTCCTCCCTGTGCTCCTGGTGTGGAGGATGTGGATGAAATGGAAATGACAAGACCATCCGTGTCCTGGTGACTCTTACTTCTGCTTTGCAGACGGGGACACACAGGCAGTATAAATGAACTGCTGTCCTGAGAAGTAACTTGTAGAAAATGCAGCCTAACTGCTTGCATTAAGGTTTCCCATTTTTTTTTTGGGCCCAAATGGTTGTGCATAGAAGAGGTGCAGAAATACACTATTATCAGTTGGTTTCTGACAACCCAAGTTGTTTGTTGTCAGTTTATTTTTTCTCTAAACATAATCTCAAGTTTAGCACTGTGATGTGATTTTTAACTGGGGTAAGTGGTATACTTCCTATAAAACCTTTTGTTAGTTTACCTGGCCCTGTGTTTGCAGAGAGGTACGCCTGCCAGAAGAGCATAAAAAACCCCAAGCGGCATTTTCCTGTAATAGAGAACTTTGCTTCTTTGCCCAGGAAATAATCAACGGTTCTGACAGATCTCCTTTTTTCTCTCACTGCTGCTTCTCTCAGCATGCTCAAAGCCTCAAGCAGGAGACCGTTTCTCTTTGAATCCTCCTCGTTCATCTTTCTTTTTCAGGATCAGGATGTTTTCCCTTGGGTGACTCACTGAAACCGACCCTTTCTCCTACAGGGGACTCATGGTTGTCTGAGTCTTCAGCTGTGGCTAGCTTGTAACCCCCATCTCCCTCTCCCTTCTGTGTGTCAGGTCACATCTCCTCAACGTCATATCTAAGAGACTCAAAATCCTTGCCTGGAGTAATTTTCCCAAGCTACTGTACCAAGAGAGGAATTGGGTAGACAGAAAAGCCGTGGAGGAAGAAATAAATGTGATGGTAGGGAGGGAGTAAAGAAGTCCCCTGAGGATGGAACAGCATGCAAGAGGTCAGCCCAGTCCTGGGGCGCAGAACATTACCTAATGCTTTCGTCCAGATTTGAGTGGAGGTGGACTTTAGATGTGTTGTCCCATGTATGATTAAATGGATGTTACCTGATGCTTTCTAAACCGTCACCATTTGTGAGAACTGCAGACATAAGGATTTCCTGAGAAATTAAAGTTATTTGTGTTTCAAACCATGTCTCACCTATTGCGTGTTTCTAACAGGTCCCCAAGATATCCTCAGGAATGGAACAAACATTTCCTTATGTATATGCTTCTTATAGGGAGGCAAATAAAATAGGCTGCTTAAAACAGGTAATATTTACTTGACATTTCATGATGCCAATAAAAAGACTTCCAGAAAGCTGCTAGAAGGAATAGGTCATTTTTAATGCACACAGTTCTGCACCCACTGTGGAATAAATCAATAGTTGACCTTGTTCTGGCAGATAAAGAAGAGTTAATAGCTGACCTGAAATCCCACGGTTGCCTAGGTACCAGTGATTGTTATTTGTCTGTATTTACTTTGTGCAAACAGAATATGGAATCAGGCAGTAATGTAAGGAGCTTTAGAAGAGTCTGTTTCTTGGAGTTTAAACAATTGGCAGGATAACTTCCTGGGAAGGTACCTTTAAAAGGCAAGTGTAAATGGAAGCTATAAAGTATTCAACAAAATCATACTGGTGGCCAAAAAGGCATGATTCCACGGTTGCTGAAACTGTGTTTAACAAAATACAAAGTATTCTGCACATTAGGCAGGGAGGATGAAGTAAATGTCAGTGAATGTAATTGCAAACTTAAAGAAGGAGGTGGGAAAGGAAATGTGCTAATCATGGAGATACTGGTGATATAGGTTCAGAGAAGGCGTCGTTTTACATGCAAAGAGAAAAGGTCTAGGTGTAGGCCCAATATAAAATCAGGAAATAGTTGTGTGTTTTTAGGAAAAAAAACAACAAAACAACAAAAAAGAGAAAAACCAACAAAAAACCCCTTCCTGTGTTTATGATGTAAGAGAAGGTATTTGTACTGTACCTGGTTTTGTATATAGTTTATAACAGAGGAGTATGAGGCAGTGCTTGCTAATATTTAAAAACGAGCAGATCTAGATAAGGTATGTCCAAATACAATAGTCAAAGCAAGGAGCTCTTTTATTCATTAATGCTAATTTTTAGCCAATTCTTGTAAGCTAGGGGAGTTGCAGAAGGCTGGAATGCTGCCCACCAGGATTCACTATTGAAAAAAATTGAAAGAGATGACCGAAAGAGCTATGAACTAATTATCTCTATGTTGATCCAAGATTTTAAAAATCTGGAATATTTTAAAAGCACTAGAATCTGAAGAAGTGGTTTAATATCTATTCAGTGTGACTTTGTATAAGGTAATATACATCTTTTTTAGACAAATATTGTCTTGTCCATTTTGACAAGATTGTACAAAGCTATACTGATATAGTTGAACATTGCTCCATCAACTGAATTCATCCAAGTTACAAGTTCTGTTTTTTAAGAAAAAGAATACTTAAATAAACAAAACACATGTTAGAAGGATTAAAAACCTCTTTAACAACAGATAAAAATTATTGGGGAGGCATC